CAGCAGCATAACAACCTCGACGCTGACGCCGCTCGTCGGAATCGGGCTCATCAAGCTCGACAAGATGTTCCCGTTCACCGTCGGCGCGAACGTGGGCACCACCGTCACGGGCATGCTGTCTGCACTGGCGGGCTCGAACGTCGCCACCGGCATGACGGTGGCGTTCGCGCACCTGTTCTTCAACCTCATCGGAGCGCTCATTTGGTTCCCGATCCCTGCCATGCGCGCCGTGCCGCTCACCATGGCCAGGGCACTGGGTAGCGTGGCCGCCGACCTGCGCTGGTTCCCCATCGCCTACATCTTCGTCGTCTTCGGAATCATTCCGGGCCTGCTCCTGGGGCTGTCCTTGATGCACTGGGCGGCGCTCGTGTTCGTGGGCCTTCCGATCCTTCTCTTGCTGATCGCTGGCTCTTGCGTCTTCGGCATGCGCGCCTACCACCCGGATCGGCTGCCTGCGGTGCTCAAGAAGGACTTCTCGTTCATGCCGCCCAGCATGAAGATGGCCACCGCGGACGGCGAGGGTCAGTCCGCCGCGGTGGAGGAGTCGAACATCGGCAGTACCGACATCGGTGGCGCGAGGCAGTGGTGGCTGGCGCCCTGTGCCTACGGGCTCGGCTGGTACTCGATCCTGGTAATGCTGATGGCGGTGCCGAACGCCAAGTGGTCTGACATGAAGTACGCGTCCTTCGACTCCCGGGACCACGTCGGCATCGGCGCCTGGAGCGCATGCTCCGCCATGTTCGCGGAGGAGGTGGGCTGGGCCCCGAGCCCTCTCACGGGCGCGGACCTCGATGCGCACCTCGCGACGTGCATGGCTGACCTCAGCTCCGCCTGCGCCGACCAGAGCGACTTCTCCACCGTCCTGGGCGCCAACACCGTCTATGAGGAGTCGTGGCAGGGGTGCACGGACGCCACGACGGGTGACTGGCTGAGTGAGTGCGAGGCGCTGACTGGGTGTGGCGACCTGCATGCGACGCAGTGCGCCAACGTGTCCGCCGCGGTCACCCGAACGTACAGCATCGACTACAGCCAGTCTGGCACCAAGTGGGCCGCGGCCCCAGCGTCGTCCTGCAGCGCGGACGCCTTGCCGAAGGCCTGCTGCATCCCGCTCGGCGACCTCTGCACGGACGTCGGCGGCCTGACGGCCGCGGGCGGCCTGAGCGTTGCCGGGATCGTCTTCTCCCTTTTGGGGATGGCGGCGATGCTCGCGTACCTCGCCAGGGGGGACAAGCGGGACATGCGCAAGGTACTCTGGGGCACCGCCGCCGCCTTCGGCGTGGCCTGGGTCCTCCTGCTCGCTGCGTGGACTATCGGCCTGAGCGCGCTGGGGCAGGAGACGACGTGCTGGGTCCAGGACGACCAGAACGACGGCATCGTGGCGGCCAAGGGCAAGCTCGGGGACATCGGGAACGGCGTCGGCTACGGGCTCGGCTACATCATCGGGGGCTGGGCCCTGCTCAACCCGATCCTCGTGATTACGGCGCTCCGCGTCCTGGCCGACATGAAGGCCGGTCCCCCGCAGAAGGAGGAGGCGAGCGAGGACGAGGCGGCCAAGATCTCGACCATCTGAGCACGTGACGGCGCGGACGATCGTGCGATCCTCCCTCCACCAGCCCGCGCGTCTCTCTCTTGAGGATCTGCCCTGCTTTCTGCCCCCCCATGTTCACGCCCTGCCTGCTGGGCCAGGGATTTTTGCCCCAAGGATCTCCGCAAGATGCCTCAACACGTGCTGTCTTCTCGTTTCCCGAGATGCCTCGTAGCATTCGGCGCCCTCGCGCGGCCCTCCTGGACACCGCGGGGGGGCGCGCGTGGCGACCAGGAGAGGCCAGGCGTCGGAGACGGGCGGCAGCAGCCCTCCCGCTTCCTCGAGCCCCTCGGTTTTTGGACCACCTCGCCCCCCCCCCCCCCCCCGGCCTGGGACACCCCCATACACCGCGGGGGGGGGGGGGGGGCGCGCGTGGCGGCCCTCGCGTGCCATTTTTTTGCACCCGCGACGCGACAGCGTCGCTGCAACAGCTGCAGACCTCGAGCCCGCGTCCTGGGGCGGAGCGGCGCTTGTACAATACGACGGTCGCTCTCCACTTGAGACAATGCAATAGCAATACGACAATACAATGTACAATACGACGATCGCTTGTACAATACGACAATACATTGGCGCTGTCGTAGTGATGCGGGAGGCTTGGCCTGGTGCCGCACACTCACACCGCGGCCGCCAAGTCACGCCCCCCCCAGCGCAACCGGTGCAGCTTCGCGCCTGCGCTTGCCGCGCGCCCAAAGCGGTTGCGATTCGCAATAACCGAGCAACTCAGGTATCGCGGCTGGGCCGATTTGCGTGCCCTGGAGTGCGATTTTACAGTGATCTGCCCTTCCAGGGCGCTGGCCTGGCATTCGCGCGTGAGCGCGCAGCTGCAGCGCGTCGCCGCACCCTCACACCGCGGCGGCGGGGGCTGCGCCCTGCTCGGAGGTGACGCCGCGGGGACCGCTGCGCGGGCTTGCCGTGGGGCGGCCGAGTACGCGTGCTGCCTCTTTCTCGTCGTCCTCCTCAATCTGCGTCGCCTCGTTTTGCTTCTCTTCCTCTTCCGCCTCATCATGCTCTCTCTCTCTCTCTCTCTCTCTCCCTCCCCTTCCCCCTTGACTTACGTCGGGCGTGTTCCTCTACGGGAGGCAGATTCAGGGATAGTCAAAAAGTATTCTGGGGACGATTTGTTTTCATTATGTTTGGCTATGTTTTGCATTTTGGGTGTACTTGTTATATGTCGTCCAAAATCCACCTGTAGGAGGAAATGCCCGACCTAACCCTGGACGCCCAATCTCTTCACACGCCCTCTCTCTTTCCGCCCCTCCGCTTCCACCCCTCTCCTCCGCCGGGCAGGTAGATGGGCAGCGTGCCTGTCTTGCAGATGCCGGTGCCTTCACGACTGCGACGCGCTGTCCAGCGCGGCTGCGGCGTGGATTCAGCGCGGATTTCGCATGGCTCGTGGATTCGACGCGGATTCGGCGTCGACAAGGGCTCGACCCGGATCCGACGCTTGATGGCTTCGCTGTGGGGCATGCAGGACCCCCCAAAGACGCAGCATAGGGGGACGAGGGCGAGGGGACAGCTCCGCCTCCTCCTGGCAAGTCTTGCTCCTCCCGCCCCGGACCCTGACCCTCAGAGGTCGCCAGGGCCCCCAGAGGCCTCAAGAGGCCTCCACGGGGGCCCGACGCAGGCCAAGAGCGCCCGAAGACCTCGCCCCTCGACCCTCTCGAGGGTCGAGGGCAAGCCTTGGCACCTCCTCCTGCAGCCGCTCCTGCTCTGGCTCTGGTGGGCCCGGCCCGGGGCCGCCCCACCAGAACGGAGCACCGGATGCTGTGGGCATCGCGTACTGGGGGAGCTACGAATCAGGAGCGACAGAAGGACGTACACGTACATGAATCCACGCTGTTTTCGAGATTTCGCATTGCGCGAATACTCGTATCACGCGGCCGGTCTCGCGGGTCAAGGGGCCGTGTTCATGTACATAGCTGGGCGCGTACGTCCTTTGTGGGCTCCCTAACAAAGGAGGGGGGGGGGAGGTGCATTTCTCGGGCCCCAGAGAGGCTCCCGTCTGGGCCCTGCATGACCCCTCTTTAAGGTCCGTGAAGGGCCCCTTTTCCGCAGCCCTCGCGGCCCCCGCGCAGTTCTTCCTTCTCCTCCTCCTCCTCCCCCTCCTCCTCCTCCTCCTCCAACTCCTGCTCCTCCTCCTCCTCCTCCTCCTCCTCCTCCTCGTGCTCCTCCTCCTCCTCCTCGTGCTCCTCCTCCTCCTCCTCCTCCTCCTCCTCCTCCTCCTCCTCCTCCTCTTCCTCCTCCAGACCCTCCTGCTCTGTGCGTCGGCGTGGAGCTACTCTATGCCAGATGTGGACCCCCGAACTGCAGGACAGCGGCATCGACCTGCTCGACAACGGCCAGTTTGCCCAGGGCCTGGCGCGGGCCTCGGGGGGCGCGGGGGAGCGAGGAGGAAAGAGCGTGGTCAGGAGAGCCGCGGGCAGAGGCCGGCCTGCCCAAGGTGTATGACGATGAGAATGGTGACAGTGATGGTGATAAGGAGGGTGATGATCATGACAACGATGGTGGTGGTGGTGGTGGTGGTGTCAGTGGTGATGATGATGGTGATGATGATGGTGATGGTGATGGTGATGGTGATGGTGATGGTGGTGGTGATGATGATAATGGTGAGGGTGATGGTGATGCGTAATTATGCTGCTTCTGACGGCCATGATGATGCTGATCGTGATGATTAACATGATGATGCTGATGATGACTATGAGGATATGGATGATGCTGCTGATGATGACGATGATGTTGATGATGATCATTTTGATGGTATTGGTGATGATGATGGCGATGGTGGAAGTGATGATTATGATGATGATGAGGATGAAGATGTTGATGATGATGGCGATGCTGTGTTTGACGATGTTGTTGTTGATGATGATGCCGATGCTGAGTTCCATGATGCTGATAATGACGATGGTGATGGTGATGATGATGATACAGCGGCTGCTGATGATGATGATGATGATGCGGATGCTGATCCTAATGCTGATGCTGCTGCTGCTGCTGATGATGATGATGATGATGATAATGATGATGCTGATGATGATGATGATGATGATGATGATGATGATGATGATGGTGGTGGCGATGATCATGACGAGTCGGATGATGATGAGGAGGAGGAGGAGGAGGAAGAGGAGGAGGAGGAGGGAGGAGGAGAAATACCCTCGCCTGGCCGAGGCGGGTGCTGCTGCCCTCCGTGCACTCCAGGTCGCCCAAGAGAGAGACCCACACAACACCGCCAAACAGCTCAAGGTGCAAAAGGTGTTCTCCTCTTCCCTCGCCCTGAACCTCTACCCCGACAACCTCGCCAATACGTTCCAGAGACACCCATTGCGTTGGAAACCAGATGCCTTATCGCTCATCATGTCCATCGACTGGGAGAAAGTGAGACTCGCCCTCCTTCCCCTTCCGCCCTCTTGGCGTTCGGCCGTCCTCAAGATCTTTGGGGGAGCTTGGTGCACGGAAAATAGGGTCCGGCAGTCTTCAGATTGCCTCTTTGGGTGCCCTGGGGCCATCGTCTCTTTCGCCCACTACTGGTCCTGTCCCTTTTTCTTATGGCTCCTGGAAGCCCTGTTGGGCCGTCTTGTGGGCGGCGGGCCGGTTTCGGGGCTCGGAGTTTTGGACCCATCGGAAGACAAATTTCGCGTTGTAGTTCTAGCCTTCTACTTGTATAATGAGTTGCACACCCTCCCGACCGACCAGGCAGGACACCTCTCCAAGCAGCGGGCGAGGTCTGACCTCCCAGTGGTCAGGCAGCAAGTTGCCAGGCCGAGGTGCTGCGCTCGCTGACGCACTTCGAGGACTCTCCGCGGCTACGCTCGAGGAGGAGGAGGAGAAGGAGGAGGAGGAGGACGAGCGGGAGGAGAGAGGATGGAGGAGGGAAGATCGACGGGGAGGATGAGGAGGAGGATCATGACGATGATAATGTTGATGCTGATGTTGATGGTGATGATGCTGCTGCTGCTGCTCATGATGATGATGATGATGATGATGATGGTGATGGTGATGGTGATGGTGATGGTGATGGTGATGGTGGTGAGGAGGAGGAGGAGGAGGAGGAGGAGGATAGTTAGGGAGGATGTAGTAGAGCAGGAATTGGAGGATGGGAGGAGTAGTAGATGTCATTATGATTATAGGAGGAGAGGAGGAGGAAGGGAGGGGGAGGAGGGGGGAAGGACAATGACAGGTGGACGGCGAAGGATGCGGAAGTGGCGATGTGGAAGGAGGAGAGGAGGAGGAAGAGGAGGGGGAGGAGGAGGCGGACAAGGAGGAGGAGGAGGAAGAGGAGGAGGAGGAGGAGGAGGAGGAGGAGACGGGATGAGAAAGAAGCAGTCCGCAGATCGCAGAATGCAGCAGGAGGAGGAGGAGGAGGAGGAGGACGAATGCAGGAGGAGCCGCGGGGAAAGGCTGGTTTGCCCAAGGCGAAGGAGGAGGAGGTAGGAGGGAGGGGGGAGGAGGGATGATGGGGGGAACACGAGGAGGAAAAGGAGAAGGATCTGCGACCACTTGCGAACCCTACCCCTGCGGATCCAATCGTCGCTGGGGCAGCGGACACCTTTGGTGGGGCCCACTCGGTCCGCAGGCATCCTGCGAATCCTGAGCCCCGGCCAGTTTTTTTTTTCGGACATCGGACCTGCAGGGGTAGGGTTCGCATGCGGTTGCCTGTGGATGGTATGCTCCCCCGCCCTTCCCGCGCCGCGCAGCGCGCGCGCGCGTGCGAGCGCTGCGCCCGAGGTCGGCGCCGAGGGCGCGTGGGGCCGCTACGAGTTCGATCCGGCAGGCTCCCGGCCTGCGCCGACGCCGCCCCGCGCCCCTCGGGGCAGCGCCGAGCAGCGCGCGCACGACGCGATGCGATGCGATCCGATCCGCCAGAGCTGTCGGCGCCGCCCGCGGAGCGCGGCGACGCCCCGTCGGCGACGCCCCGTCGGCGGCGTCGGCGGCGTCGGCGGCCGAGCCCGACCCAGGCGCCCCCGCCGCGCCGTTGGGGGCCGCGATGCCGAGCGCGGTCCGAGTCTCCCGCGTCGGCCAGGGCCAGCTGGAGCCAGGCCGACTCTGAGTCGATTCGGGGCGATGCCGATGGCGATGCGATCCGTTTCCAGTCCGATTCGGCTTCGCGGCTCGATCCGGCGCAGACCTGCCAAGGGGGCTCGCCGCAGCGGGGGTTGGGGTCACCCCGTCCTGGCTCTGAGCGCGCGACTGTCGCTGCGCCCATCCGGCAAGGAAGGCGCCGCGACATCCAGGAACTTGAGGCGTGGCCGGTTTCCTCACCGCTACGGCCCCGTGTCGGGCCCTCTCCCCCGAGTTGGTCGGGAGCGGTTCAAGAGGGGGACGAGGACTAATAGGAGGGGGTGGGGGGGAGATCCTGGCCGGTGCCATGGGATCTCCCAGATGTCATGGCCTCCTTCTTCTTTCAACCCATCCCCAGGCCCCCCACCCCCGTCCCCCCCTCGCCTTGCCCCCCACCCCATCCCGCTCCTGCGCAAACGGGTCGGCGCCGCCGCAGAGCTGCCACCGCCACCATCGTTGCCTTCGTTGTCGTCGTCGTCGTCGTCGTCGTCGTCGTCGTCGTCGTCGTCGTCGTCTCCTTCGTCGCCGCCGCCGCCGCCGCCACCGTCGTCGTCGTCGCCGTCGTCGGCGTCGTCGTGGTCGTGGTCGTCGTCTCCGTCGTCGTGGTCGTGGTCGTCGTCGTCGTCGTCGTCGTCGTTGGCCGAGGGTCGGGTATTGATGTTCGAAGACCGAGGTTCTGGTTTCCATGGCCCGGTGCGACCTGGCCATCCAAGGGTGGGGGTGGCGCCCAGGCACCCGACGTCATGTTTTTCTGTTCCATGACGTAGACCCCTGGAGGTTTCGACGGGTTCCCCAACAGGTTTGAGACGTCAGATCGGGTATAGCTTAAAGTCGGGCATGCCATTCTACAGGAGGAATATTCAAAAGTAGTCGGACATATTATGGGGACGAATTTTTAGTATGTTTGAGCATTTTCCAAATATGCTTTGGGAAGTTGCATGTTTTTGCATAAAATCCGCCTGTTTGAGGACAT